TGGGGAATGGGAAATTGGTGTTTGTACAAATTAATGATTGTCTTATACAGGCGCCCTTTAGTTAGGTTCGTTTGTTTTTGTAAGAGTTTTACGGCACTCGCAAATGCATAAGGTCATATGAGCTTCAGAAGATTAGACGTGTTACAAGAGAGTAACAAACACAAAAAAGAAGGGGATATAAGGACGGTAGATGTTTCATAGGACAGAAGAAGCAAACCACACCAGAGCACCCGCCAATCACCTACAGTAGGTTCGACTGTATTTTGAAGTAGTAAAGACTATAACGGCTTGCAAACAAAAAGGGGAAAAGGCAGAGGTCCGAATAATGGAGATAACTCATTTTGTCACAAACTCCTTTCTACATTCGACGTGGATTCATGGGCTGGGCTAACGTAACCGTTTCCACGACCAATCCCAAACCGGACACATTTCCCGGTGTCGATACCGCGGAATGTTGCGAAAGTCTTAGTTTGAGCTTATTACGTGAGATATTACGGCACTTGCGACACAAATGTGTCACTATAAGTGCCGGAGATTAATGATTTTATTAGACAGTACTATAAAAAGAAATGAAGGAGAGGTAATTGTCTGTTTGTTTGAGTAAAGACAAGCACATCGATACAATAATGGTCATTAAGTAATGATGGGATGACGTAAGAAAGAAAGACAGAGGGAAAATAAAGAAGTAGGATCTACCAGAGGCGCCCTCCAACCACCCGCGTGAGAGATAAGAACGATAGTCGTTTGATAGGAGAGATGTAGCAAACCACACCAGAGCACCCGCCAAACACCCACGTATCGAAAAGTAGATGGTGTTTAGTACCCTTGAACTCCGCTACACTAGCACACGTTCACGCTTCGCCTGCACAATTTATAAGCCGTAGATTAGTTAACGGCTACCTTAGAATTACAAAGTTCTATCTGCTCAGTACCTAGGTTTGAGACATTTGAGGTTTAAAAAAATTGCGTTTCACAATATTAATGTTAAGCTTTTTTCAAATGCAATTCTCTGAATATCTTGATAACGATTCCGAATAACCTTACGATTTTGATAGAGCAGATAGAACATATTTTCGTTTGTGACCTCATTTCATTAGTGTCTCAAAACGGCCAAAAATGTCAGATAGAACTTTGTAATTCTGAGGTAGCGTAATGCTCAAGAATGTACTGATCAGAGGCGTTATGGTAGCGGCGTCTGTGGTGTCGCAGTTGGGCGCTCGTTGTCGCACGCAGGAGACCCCCAGTTCGATTCTCGAGTGGAAAGAATGATTTTATTGAGTATCTCGGTCTTTCTGCTGTGCTATGCTAGGCTGGGATGTTGATGTTGAATCCCTCTCAACCTCGTTTGGCTCTGACAGCGCAGGGTCTGATTTATGAAAGTTTTAGTAAGAGTTGTACGGCTCTTGCAACACAATACGGTCATTGTGCCGAAGAGTAGAGGTGTTACAAGAGAGTAGCATACAAAGAAGGAGGGG